GCACCAGGGCGGCATTTGCCAATTTTTCACTTGCAACACCTGATTTCTTCCTGAATCCTCCCCAACAGCGGCCTCGTAGCTGTGTGTGCTCTCAAGCTGTGGCTGCATCTGTCAACTTGTACAAAGCGCAAAGATTTGTGTCGCCGCTTCCTTTCCAACCACATCCATCTTCTTTCCCATCCCTTTTCCATCCACCCCACATTTCCAAACACAATGCCTAACTACAAGGTAGGTTTTCGAAACGCTGCACGAGGTCGACACCTTCGCCGCTGCGCGCCTTTGTATGATGATGGTGTCACGAACAGATTGACTGATACACATCCTGTTACTCCCACTTCCTTGAATCCGAACAGGTTGCCGACATCTCGCTCGCCGCTTTCGGCCGCAAGGAGATTGAGATCGCCGAGGGCGAGATGCCTGGTCTCATGGCCCTTCGCACCAAGTACGGTGCTGAGCAGCCCCTCAAGGGCGCCCGCATCGCCGGTTCGCTCCACATGACCATCCAGACTGCCGTCCTCATCGAGACCCTCGTTGCTCTCGGTGCCCAGGTCACCTGGGCCTCGTGCAACATCTTCTCTACCCAGGACCACGCCGCTGCCGCCATCGCTGCCACCGGCGTCCCCGTCTTCGCCTGGAAGGGTGAGACCGAGGAGGAGTACGACTGGTGTCTCGAGCAGACCCTCACCGCTCACCCCGAGGGCCCCAACATGATCCTCGACGACGGCGGAGACCTTACCTGGCTCGTTCACGACAAGTTCCCTCAGCTCCTCGACCAGATCAAGGGTGTTTCCGAGGAGACCACCACCGGTGTCCACATTCTCTACTCTGCCATGAAGAAGGGTACCCTCAAGCTCCCCGCCATCAACGTCAACGACTCGGTCACCAAGTCCAAGTTCGACAACTACTACGGTTGCCGTGAGTCGCTCGTCGACGGTATCAAGCGTGCCACCGACGTTATGCTCGGTGGTAAGGTCGCCATCGTTGCCGGTTTCGGTGACGTCGGAAAGGGTTGCGCCGAGTCGCTCCGTGGTTACGGTTGCCGTGTTATCGTCACCGAGATTGACCCCATCAACGCCCTCCAGGCCTCGATGGCTGGTTACCAGGTCGACGTCATGGACGACGTTGCCTCGCAGGCCGACATCTTTGTCACCACCACCGGTTGCCGTGACATCATCACTGGCAAGCACTTTGAGGCCATGAAGGACGATGCCATTGTTTGCAACATTGGCCACTTCGACATTGAGATTGACGTCGCCTGGCTCAAGGCCAACGCTGCCAGCGTTTCCAACATCAAGCCCCAGGTCGACCGATACACGCTCAAGAACGGCAAGCGCATCATCCTCCTTGCCGAGGGCCGTCTCGTCAACCTCGGATGCGCCACTGGCCACCCCTCCTTCATCATGTCGGCTTCGTTCTGCAACCAGACCCTTGCCCAGATCGCTCTCTGGAACGACAAGGCTGGCCAGTACAAGCGTGGTGAGGTCTACATGCTGCCCAAGGAGCTCGACGAGGAGGTCGCCCTTGCTCACCTTGGCCGCCTCAACGTCAAGCTCACCAAGCTCACCAAGGTCCAGGCTGACTACCTCGACCTTCCTGTCGACGGCCCTTACAAGCGTGACACCTACCGCTACTAAGCGCATCTTTTCGCTCTAGGGATGCTGGTACCTTTCTTTTGATCTTCCGTTTTTCGTTTCTTCGATACTTTTGTTCTGCTTTCGAGGTTTTCCGTGCAATCTTCTCTCCTTGCAAGAGTCGGTCAGACTCACTGTAACAGTACTCAACGGGCTAATCCACACAAACCACACACACCACACACACACTCGCACATCCAATTCCCCCCTCTTTTTTCACTACAGTTCCATCTAGATCCCATTTCCTCTTCCGCATCAAAAAGCTTCTCGACTTGCGTTTGGTACTCTAAATGCAGTCTAGCAAAGGACCTTCATCCCTACCTTCGGTCTGTTCCCGTGTTCAGTCAAAACTTCACTCTCAGTCGTGTCAGCAAATGCATCATATCCCCCGACCTTCTCAACAAGGTCAAATTCATAATAACATTGGTGGTGTGTTTTGTGGAGATCTGTGTGGCTTCACATGATGAGCAGCAGAGTGTTTGGTGAACAGTCGCGTTGACCTCGAGTCTTGTCGCAGCTGTGCGTGTCGTGATTTGTTCTGAAAGACGCTGCGGCTGCGGCTGCTTGTGCTTCGATGCCAGTCAATTCATAAGCGGGGTTTGAGAATGGATGATCGCTGCCATCCTAAGCGATCCAATGAAGAGGTCAACTTGGACGAGACTGCGAGGTCGGAAGTCTATGACCCGACATGAGATTTGAGAGAAAAAGAAACAAAAAAAAAAAGTTGTACACCGCGTGATCCGAGCCGAGAGCGAATTTTGTAAAGTTCGCGGTGCGTGTGTTTCTTGATTTTTTGTGTGCCGGTCAATGCGCCGAAAGAAAAGGGCAGAAGGCGGCAGAGTTGGGTCTGTACGATCGGACAACCATCAACCGACCAAACCAGATACAGTAATTACTCTCCTCCTTCCCTCTCCAATCCCTGCTCCTAGACCCTCATTCAGCTTTATGCACCGTAGTAGATGATACTCGGATCCATTTACAGATCTCTTGCTATCTCTGTACCTCCATCATCATATTTGCTGTCTGTTGCTGTCCAACGATCAGTAACAGCACGAACAACTTTGCGAGTGGCACACCTCCACACGTCTGCTTTCAAGCTGTCGCCCATCCCGTTCACAAATCCCTCCGTTGTCGAACGTGGCAAGCTCCTCCAAGCTTCCGGTAACGGCATCACTCTTCGATTCCTTGGTCCTCAGCAGCAGAGTTTTGGTCTTCAGCACCTTTACAATCGATCCGCCTCCACTTTGACTACTACCAACGACGAAATGGGCGCTATCGCAACTGGAAGGGCCGACACCACCAAGCAGGTCCAGGCTCTTCGTGAGCTCATGGCCAAGCATGGCGTTGATGCTTACGTTATTCCTTCTGGTGATGAACACGCCTCGGAGTATCCCGCCGAGTCGGATCTGCGCCGTGGCTACATTACTGGATTCACCGGCTCTGCAGGTTCCGCTGTGGTGACTACGAACAAGGCGCTTCTCTTCACTGACGGCCGATACTTCCTCCAGGCAGATCAGCAGCTCGAGCCATCGGTGTGGACACTGATGAAGCAAGGTGAACCTAATGTGCCCACCTGGCAGGAGTATCTCTCCAAGAACCTCCCCGCCAAGTCCAAGATCGGCATGGATGCCTCGCTCATCTCGGCCGATGATGCCAAGGACATCACTGCCGAGCTCTCCAAGATCGGTTCCAGCCTCGTATCCATCCGCGAGAATCTGGTCGACCAAGTCTGGTCCGACCGCCCTGCCCGACCCGGTCAACCCATCTTTGTCCTCAAGGACGAAATCGCAGGTCGTTCGTCTTCCGACAAGATTCGTGAGCTTCGCGAGGAGATCAAGAAGAAGTCCGCCCACGGATTCGTCGCCAACATGCTCGACGAAACCGCCTGGCTATTCAACCTCCGTGGCACCGATGTGCCTTACAACCCGGTCTTTTTCAGCTTTGCCCTTGTGCTCCTCGACAAAGTTTTGCTCTACGTCAACGATAGCCAGCTCAACGACGAGGTGAAGGGCGCGTTGGGAACAGAGGTGACCTTGCGACCATATGGGGAGTTTTACAACGACCTGCACCAGGTTGGGGCCCAACTCGGAGAAGGGCACAAGATTTTGATCGGAAAGAGCGCTTCTTTGGCTGTGCAGGAGGCCTTGGGTGGAGCTGCGAAGGTGGAGATTGTACGATCGATCGTTGGCGATCAGAAATCGATCAAGAACGAAGTCGAGTTGGAAGGGTTCCGTCAGAGTCACATTCGCGATGGTGCCGCTCTCTGCCAGTACTTTGCTTGGCTTGAGGAACAGCTTCATGCAGGTAACAAAGTGACCGAGTCGCAAGGCGCCGATAAGCTTAGCGAGTATCGTCAGGCTCTGGACCATTTCAGGGGGGAAAGTTTCACCACCATCTCTTCCACGGGACCCAATGGTGCCATTATCCATTATAGTCCCGATCCGGCCAAGTGCCCCGCTATCGATATCAACGAGATTTATCTGTGTGATTCGGGGGCACAGTTCACGGATGGTACAACGGACGTTACTAGAACTTGGCATTTTGGTACACCTGCCGCTGAACACGTTCGGGCGTTTACGAGGGTCTTGCAGGGACACATTGCTATTGATCGGGCAATTTTCCCCAAGGGAACCACCGGATATCTTCTCGACGTCCTCGCTCGTCGCGCGCTGTGGGAAGACGGTCTCGACTACCGCCATGGAACAGGCCACGGTGTAGGACACTTCCTCAACGTCCACGAAGGTCCCCAAGGCATCGGCACACGTGCCGTTTTCAACGAGACTAGCTTGAAGGAAAACATGGTAGTCTCCAACGAACCTGGTTACTATGAAGACGGTAAATGGGGAATCAGAATTGAAAACCTCGTCATCGTTCGCCCTGCTAAAACCCCCAACAACTTTGGAAACAAGGGTTACCTGACTTTCGAGCACTTGACCATGTGCCCAATCCAGGTCTCATTGGTAGATGCCGGCCTGCTGACAAGGGAGGACAAGAGATGGTTGAACGATTACCATGATGAAGTTTTGGCCAAAGTTGGACCTCTGTTGGAGAAGGATGAGAGGGCCCTGGCCTGGTTGAAGAAGCAGTGCGCTGCCCGAGTCTAAGTGCATCGTCGCAGCTTCACTTATTTCTAGCAGACCTCAATACAATTCGCCTTCTTTAGTGATATTAACCTCTCTTTTAAGCCTCTGAATCATAGCGTACGAGTGGAGTGTACTCTGCCATTTGGAATCCCACGATGAGACCATGCAACAACGATCAGATGCCCAACCAAGAGGCTGTCCCGCTTCGAAACAGAGGAGTTTCCGAACGGCAGACACAACTTACTCAAGAGAGCAAGAGAAGAAGAAAAACTTGGGGCATAAAAAAAGAGTCCTACGGGGATTGAACCCGCGACCTGCAGAATACCTCGAGAAAAGGATCTTCGACTAAACCGAAGTCTGCCGCTCTACTGCTGAGCTAAAGACCCTTTTTATCCGACGAGGCTCATTATGACAATATGATCAGCTCGATGCCTGTTTATCAACTATATGTCTCAAACGGTGGACAATCTCAATTTCTTGTTGTGATCATTTTGAACATGAAGGACCAAGTTTTCAGCCTGATGCATATGCTTGTTTGTTTGCCTGGAAAACAGCCCTCTTGAGATGTTGGGCTGTGCAGATCTCCAGTTTGTTTCTGAATGCATCAAGTGTGGCATTCATGGCTGCATCTGATGCACAAATGACAGCTTCCTGCAGCAGTGTTTGCAATTCTTGAGGAATGGGTGCAGAATGACCCAGAAGCCAAGCAATAGCTTTGTTTGGACTTCGGGATCATAGTGATCCTGGAACAGATGCCTTATGCACAGCAGACTGCGTCAGAACCAGCTTACAAGTCTGTGCATAAAAGGTGGCAAAGAGTGCCTTGTTGATAGTGTCCACTTGCTTTGCAGCTTTGTTGACAGTCTGGTGATACCGGCCTTTCAAAGGCCAAAAGATTGAGACGTCAATTTGAAACTTTCTTTCTTTAAGATTATCACTACGCTGGTGTGCTGCCAGGCCACATGTGCCACCCAATATAAAGGGGCCAATTACTATTCATGATTCATGATTGAGAAGCCAGCTGCGTAGCCACCCCGGGTGGCTACTTTGCGAAGCCAGCCAATCGGGGGTGACTTCGAATGTGGCTTCGTTGTGAAGCCACCCGGGGTGGCAAAGGAGGGTGGCTTCAGGTTGTCATTTTTCCTTTATTTTAAGATTACCAAAACGTTTGTCAATTCTACTCCAGTTTGGGTGGTTTTGAGGGAAGGTTTGTGACGCAATTATCGTCTCTTTTCCAGAATAAGAATTCTCAATCAAATCATCTTGGACACGCTTCTTGTGCCTGCCACGCGCCAGATGGCATGGTTTCGGCCATCCATAGATAATCATTAAAATTCAATTGAACAAATCTACCTAGATAAAAAGGGACCTTTCCGAGAATAATTGTAACCCAAAAAAAGGAAAAATTTGGTCATGAAGCCACCCCAACTGGCTTTCAGGTGAATACTGGTCTCACCTAACAACCCTCCCCCCCTTCCAGTAGATCCTTGGGTGGTTCCCAGGAAGTACTCATTCATTTATTGCAGTCTGAATTCTTTCACTTATGACTACCTGCTGGTCTATCAACCAAGGGCCGAGCAGGTCGCCGCTTAGATCATTTATCCCAAACAAAAAATAACCCCAAAAAACAGAAATCAGGCAGCGAAGCCACCATTCATGATTGAAGCCACTCCCGATCTGGCTGGCTTCGAGGGTGGGTTTTCATCGTAGCCACCCCGGGTGGCTTCACGGCTGGCTTCTCACTGTAGCCACCCCGGGTGGCTTCAAGGGTGGCTTCTCAACGTAGCCACCCGGGGTGGATTCGAGGGTGGCTTTCATGACGCGTTTTTTCTTTTTTTACGATACTATTGACGACACCTTGTTGAGCCTCATCCATTTCAAGTCACGTTCTCTCATCAGACGACAGAAAAGGCAAACGGGCAGGACAAAACGCGCAAATGTGAAAATGAGCAATGATATCACTGAAATTCATAGCGTGATGGCCCTCCAGGAGCCTTTTTTGCGCCTAAGTCATTTATGAATTACAATCATTTCGTTTTGCATCTGTGTTGTGACCTTAAGTCATATCGTTAAAAAAGGAAAAGTCGGACCCCGGAACCACCCTAGCAACCACCCTGGGTGTTTGCTTTCGGGGAGCTACCCCGCAAGCACCCCCGATCTAGGTGCTTGCTCTGGGTGGCTGCTCGGTGGAGCCATCCGGTTGGTTGCTAGGGTGGTTCCGGGGTCCGACTTTTCCTTTTTTAGGATATGAGTGTCTCAAATCCTGAAGAAAGAAAAATATCCTAGGCCGAAGACAACCCCGTGGCTTTCCGATGCATATCGTGAACGGCCCATTAATGAGTCAGGCCCATTAACGGGTCATTTTTGTGAATCCATGTAAATGATACTCTTTACATTTGGGTGGCCGTTTGGCATGAAAAAGTACGTCAAAGGAAGTCAATTTCTGTCATCTGAGCAGTCATCATCATACCAATCACGTTATCCTCCAAGTCCTCCAGGCCAGAGGAAGCGCTGTCAAGCTCTACGCTTGCTGCCCGGCTATTCTGGACATCCAACCTTGATGATGAGGTGCATCAAAGGTCTATGCTTGGTGTTGGACTGGCTTCTGAGTCTGTGCTTGGCAAGGTGTTTTTTGGGCTTTTTGGCCTGTTTCCAAGCGCTTTCTGCTGCATTGCTTCCTTGATGTCTTTACTCATATCCTAAAAAAAGGAAAAATCCGTCATGAAGCCACCCGGGGTGGCTTCGCAGCTGGCTTCTCACTGTAGCCACCCAGGGTGGCTTCAAGGGTGGCTTCTCAATATAGCCACCCAGGGTGGCTTCGCAGCTGGCTTCTCACTGTAGCCACCCAGGGTGGCTTCAAGGGTGGCTTCTCACTGTAGCCACCTCACCACTCCAGGCATACTGGCTGGGCAGCCCGCCAGCACAGCCTGCAGGACCACACTGGCAAGGCAGCCCCGCCAGCGTGACCTACAGGTCACAAAACATCACATCAACATCATATATGTCAGCAATATAAATACAAGGTTGTTCAAAGCTGTGCGCAAAAACGAAAGGTCAGGCGTAAGGTCAGATGTGAAGCAAACGTCAAATGTGAGCCAGAGGTTGAAGTTCAAAGCACAATGAGCTGCCAAAAGTCGGGTAAAGCGTGAGGCGCGGTTGACTTGAGTCGAGCTACTTACGCTGCAGTGTGTGCTGGATGTGACGCTCGCTGCTCTTTGGGAATGTGAGAATGGTCAACGGGTGGATACTTCATATGGGATGCAGTATGAGCCTGAGGCAGTGAGCTCATCATGCCACGAGAGGGCATGACACCACGAGGAGGTCCGGTACGGAAAACATCAGGAGCGGCACCATAAGGCGAGGGAGACTGAGAGGGAGCATTGGGGAAGGGCGAGGTGATGGCGGTGGTCGACTTGTGCTGCGACATGGCACTGGGCGTACGCTTGGGAGCGGCAAGACCTTCAGGGACATCGTTCTATCCGGAAGCATCACGCTTAAGGGGAGGAGGAGGAGGAAGCTGCTGCTGCTGCTGTTGCTGGTATGAAGAGCCGCCAAAGGTGGGTGGCGCGGGGATCATGGGCTGAGCAGGCTCGTATGCCGACTGGTAGCTCTGAGCACCATATCCGCCGTAGGTATTGGTCTGCGCAGGTTCTGACTGCATGGCGGTCGGCACGGGTGCGGGGACTGCGGGTGCGTATTTCGACTGTGTAGCAGGCTGAGCAACAACGGGTGCAGGAGCAGCAGCTGCGTACGGGTCAGAGTACGTGGGTACCGCAGGCACAGAGGGGATCGATGGGATCGAAGGCACTGAGGGCACGGAAGCAGCGCTCGGCTGGCCGTAGGGGTCGTAGGGAGCATATCCGTTGGACGAGTTCGAGGGAGCAGCGTACGAAGAGGTGGAAGCAGCAGCAGTGGCGGCAACACCGTTGTTGGCAGGAGCAACAACGTCGCTCTTGCCACGCGCACTCTCCGCCTTGAGCAAGCGCTGCTTGAGCGCGCTGGCAGTGAGCAACCCGCTGGCGGCCTGGTCAACGGGACCTTGAGGTCGGTAGTCGGAAGGCGTCTGGTTGGCAAACTTGAGAGCGGACGTGATAAGACCCTGGTCGGCGAGCAACTTGACGTACTCGTGGATGCGGTCGTAGAGGGGAGCGAGCTTGTAAGATCGGGCACCGGTCTCTGCCACGATCGAGTCCTGGGTAGGCTGCTGGAGGTTGACATCGACGTAGCCGACCGCGCTCTGGAAGACGGTGATCTTTTCCATGAAGGTCTGAAGAGCCTCTGCACGCGCCAAGTAGAGAGTGCCCTCGGAGGATGCATCGGTGCTCTTGTTGTTGGAGGAGCGGAGAGAAAGCTCTTCCTCCTTCATCTCGTCGATCCACATCCCAGCCACCTTTTCGAGCTTGCCCGCAGCGAGGTAGCAGAGAACAGCGTTCTTGCGGTGTTCCTTGGCCTGAGTAGCGTCCGAGTTGCGTGCGACGGTGTACTGGAACTCGAGGCGCTGGCCGAGCTGCTCGGTGAGGTTGCTGAACTCGTCCTGCTTGGCGAAAGTGCAGAGGACGACGAAGATCTCTTGCCACTCGCTGAGATCGGCATTCTGGACAACATCGGTCAAGTCATCAGACACGATGCTCTGGAAGAGACGGAGGTAAGGGAGCTGAGCGGTGCGCTTCTCGAAGTAGGCCTTTTGAGCTTTGGCGAGGAGCTCCTCACCGCCACGGACGGCGAGGAGGAAAGCGTCGGCGAAACGGTCGCTGTTGATGCAGAGCGAGACGGCGCTCTCAAAGTCGCCGAGGACGAGGGCGCGGGTGATGAGCTTGTCACCCTCTGACTCTTCCGAGGGGTAGATCTTGAAGGTGGAAGGGCGGATGTTCTCGCTCGCGACCGAGGAGGGACCGGGCGAGCCAGCAGTTGCGGCGGCGGAAGAGTGAATAGGCAGCTGAGACTCGGAGAGGAGATGGCTGGGCAAAGCGGATCGGGCGGCGGGGTCTGACCAGCAGAGATCTGGCTGAAAAAGTCGGAGCCGTCGTTAGCGCCGGGACCTGCAGCGTCGTCACCAAAAAGGCTAGGCTTGTTGGCATCCTTGACCTCGGCTTCTGGGGCAGCCTCTGTAGCAGGCTTGACAGGCTCGGCAGCAGCGGTTACATCGGCATCGGACACGGCAGCCTCCTCGGTAGCAGCAGGCTTGGAAGATTGTGGCTCCTCAAGGACCTTGGCGACAGGAGTTGTCTCTTCTCCAGCAGCAGTGACACCGTTGGACTTGAAAGCAGCAATGGATTGAGATACCTTCTGGGCGACATCCTCTTTTGAAAAGCCAAGGAGGGCAACGAGCTCGTCGCGCGAGTCTGCACGGAACAAGGTTTGGAGCGCCTTCCAATTGGCAATGTCG